GTTTTAAGGCCGATACCGATAGGGGGCCGATTAAATCGTGCATCCCTAGAAAATTACTCTTATTTCTCTCCCTTATTATAATAAGTGTGCTAAAATACAACCTGTAAAACCTGATTGGTTTATTTTTTGATCCGTCCCAGAAATGGGATTCTTCCTTACTCCTGGAAGCCCATTTTTTTTAGCTTTCTATTTATAAATAATTGTCGTAATTTGGAGTTTTATGTTTGCATTTTGTTGTACTTTTATGGTACACAGTGTATGATCTACAGAAAGACACAACTGAACTACAGATAAACATGGTGTAATCATATTTTCTGAGCATGTCTAATGATGATGTCAGACAAGCAATATAATGGAGATCATTTAAAGTGCATCCAGTCCTAAGAAAAGGAATTAATAATTTTTTATTTGATGTAATTAAGCATCATTTAATGATAGATATCAATATTTCCAGTACTGTAATTATATTATTCATAGTCACCTAGATGAATATCGGGTTGCAGATGGGCAAAGGAGCTAATGGTACAAATCGGATAGTGACATCCTGTAGGGGGCAGTACTGAGATTTGTCTTATTGAGAAAAATTTGGGCTTATCTGCTACCAGATTCCTCTATATGAGACATTATTAATTGCATCTTGACAGCGGCAGCGTTGTGTACGCTCTGTCTTCTAGGTGACTGCTGGCTATTAGCAGCCATTGCCTCGCTGACGATGAACGAGTATGTGATGGCACGAGTCGTTCCATCAGACCAAGGATTTGGAGATGATTATGCAGGAATCTTCCACTTTCAGGTATCAGCTATGCCTATAGGGTCCAGTCTTACTGCTGCTGTCACAGAAAGTGTGTGTTTTGTCTAAGATTGTCTTCCTGTTTGCTTGCAGTTCTGGCAATTTGGTGAGTGGGTGGACGTGGTGATTGACGATCGGCTGCCAGTTAAAGACGGAGAGCTGATGTTCGTGCACTCGGCAGAAGGCCGGGAGTTCTGGAGCGCCTTGCTGGAGAAAGCTTACGCTAAGTAAGACCTTGCAGAGCTTAAACTGAGTCTGTTTCCTGAGACTGATCACACAGAAACCTGAAAGAGCTGTCCTTCCTGCTCTCTGCTCAGCTTGGTTGTGGTTTGAACTGCTGTCTGAAAAGCTGCAGTTAGAATCTGTTTGCTGTTTTGAGTTTTCAGGTGAACAACTGTTTGCTCAGACTAGTGGAACAACTGTTAAAAATGTATGTGCATTCATTAATAGCTATTGAAAAAAAACAAACTGTATCATCTGCATAGAGACATCCTGCAATCAAGAAACTGAGCCTAAATTAATACCCAGTATCCATATTTTACATTTGTTATGTGTACACAACAAAGAAAACTAAAACTATTCCCTCCAGTGATCATTGTATACCAAACAAAGGTTACCATGGTGACACATCCTGTAAATGATATGACTAATAGCTTTAAAACAGTAGCTGCAGGGATCTGCCTGCAGCCTGACGCTATCAACCCAATCACTATTGACTTTAACCTCTCAAAACCAGCCTTTTAAAAGCGTTTACAAATAATTACTCAGAATGCATGAAAATTACACTGGTAAAATGTTTACCAATATAGACATGTTAGACATCTTATGAAAGCTTAGCTTCTCCACAATTCAACCACCTCATTGTATGGACACAGTGAGCACCAAGGCACAATTAACACAGATATAGCATCATGTCAAAATGTACCAGGACAAAGCGGCCACAATAAGCAATCATGTCTTTATAAGTGCTGTTCAAAAAAGACCTATTATTTTTGAGAATAAAAAAGCCAACTTTGAGTCTTGTCTGAACTGATGCAGCTTGGATGTTCTACTTACCCAATTTTCATGTATATATTCAGAGACTAGAAGGTGTTTGCTTTCAAATTTTGGCTTACAGTTCCTCAGTTATTTGCTTTTCCTTTTGGGTATGCAAAATAGGCGAGAATTTCCCAAAATGAGGTGGAAATTAAGAGGTGAATGTTCTGTATTCAGGATGAATGGCTGCTATGAAGCACTGTCTGGTGGTTCCACCACTGAGGGCTTCGAGGATTTCACTGGGGGCATTGCAGAGAACTATGACCTCAACCAGCCACCGCCTAACCTGTTCCAGATTATCAAGAAGGCGCTTGAGGCTGGAGCTCTGCTGGGCTGCTCCATCGACGTGAGTTCTGCAACATTCAGACTGAAAACCATCCATGATCTTCCCCAAAGTTAATCTCGTGCAGCCGAATTGTCATGAGAACACAGTGATCGCTTAAATAATGGTTCTATTGCTGCAGATCACCAGTGCTGCAGACTCCGAGGCTGTTACTCGTCAGAAGCTGGTGAAAGGCCACGCCTACTCACTGACGGGTGCTGTGGAGGTAAGGAGAGCTGCTAGAAATGAGGTTCTGTTTAACAGAAGCAGGAGAATACATGGTTTTGGGTTCTGGATGCAGGTGAACTACCGTGGGCGTCAGGAGAAGCTAGTGAGAATGAGGAATCCCTGGGGTCAGGTAGAGTGGACTGGACCCTGGAGCGATGGGTGAGTAAACAGGTTCTGTGCTCTGCAGCTCCCCTTCAGCTGTAGGAAACTAGCTGAGGCCATGTTTAATGCTTCTCATGTTGAGTTCACACAGTCTGAAACCAATTAGGAGGTTTGATATGGACAGGAACTAACTGCTCTAACTGGTTTACTGTAACTGGCTAAGTTCTAGTCTTTCCGTGGAGATGTCCCACATCAAAACAGACTGACCATCAACCAACCACTTGGTGTCTGCTCTTCATGCAGGTCCTCTGAGTGGAACTACGTTCAGGGCGACTGTCCTCATGCCAATGCAGAGGATGGGGAGTTCTGGTAGGACAGACAGAACCTCACAGGAACACAGTGAACTGATATTAGGACAGAGTGAGAGAATGTGTCTCTGTTCCGTTCTCTGCAGGATGGCGTTCACTGACTTCCTGCGGCACTACTCCCGCATAGAGGTGTGCACTCTGACCCCCGACACTATTGGAGACGACTCTGTCAAACACTGGAGTGTTAGCAAGTTTGACGGCAACTGGAGGAGAGGGTCCACAGCCGGAGGCTGCAGGAATCATCCTTGTGAGTATCAGACCGATGTACTGATGGTTCTGACCATGCTCAGCATACTCAAAGAATTAACTATAATGTCACCAGTAGGCTACGATAGTCTTGGTTGATCTACCGATGGTAGTGACGGTACTGACGGCCTGTGTCCCAAATCCAGGGCTGCGTCCTTCAAAAGACCTGGTCTACATGGACCAGAGTCCTTTAATGAACACAAAAACAACAAATACTAGCCTAGCCTTCATCAGCTGTCCTCATACAGAAGCCGAGAGTGGTCGCGTACCTTTGATGCTTTTCACTGTAGGTTTTCTCGAGAAAGCAAGTTAATTTTCTCATTATTTTAAGACAATGAAAGCTGTTTTCTTGTGATAACGAGATGATTGGCATGTGTTAAAACTGATTACATCCTTCAACCACAACAGTGGGAGAGGATTTATCAGTATAAGTCATGGCAGCCTATGTGGAATTCTGTAAATAATCCTGTGTTTAACTTTTAGGTAACGAGACGACGTTGTTGGGTTGATGATTTGCTTCCACTTATGATTCATAAGCAATTAGACCTAGGCCTCCGGCGCCTTAGCCCCGGGTGTTTTCTGAACAGCCCCAGTGTTACTGTAAAAGGTATAAGATGCATTAACCTCCAAAATGATTCCACATAAAGATTTACTTTAAGAAACAGATTTGTTTTTTCAGTTTTTCATGCAATCCAATCATCCACCATGACCTGACAATTGAAAAGAAAAGAGAAACTAAAAAACTGATTATTTGCACACACACAGTACCGCGGCTGCTCAAATACGGGCACCGCAGGCATGGATGGACTAGGGCTGTTGGCCAGCCTGATTCATTACACATACAGGTAAATCATGTCGTTATCTCACCAAATCATTAACCTCGTTATCTTGAGTAATCAATGTTTTAACTGTGATAACGAGATAGTTATGTTATTATCTCAAGAAGTCGAGTATGACCGCTCTCAGCTTCCGTAGTCCTCGCCCTCACCTCGTTGTAACTTTGTGGGAAGTCAGAATTCATCTCAAAGGGCACACGTGTAAAAATAATGGCATTAGATTCCCCTAGCTCTGTGTGAATCGTTTCTGTGTGGTCATGTCAACTTTTGACACTCTGAGTGGAACAAACCTGAGAAACTAAACTGCCTGTGATTGACCACTTCTCAAAAAATACTGCCTCTTGGGATCATAATGTTTTCTTCCCAGTTACGGCTAATAAAGTTAGCAAAACATCTTAAAGGGTTAAGAGTTGGTAAAGTAAAGTTATGGTTAATTAGCTTAGTTTGACAGTAATTGTGTTCTGACAGCAGTAGCAATTTGCTCTAAAACAGGCATCCCCAAAGTTGGTCCTCAAGGTTTTAGAGGTTTCCCTGCTCCAGCACAGCTGATTTACATTGATAGTTGATTAACAGGCTTTTGCTGAACTGCAGTGATCAGAATCAGCTGTGCTAAAGCAGAGAAACCTCTAAAACCTGCAGGACAGTGGCCCTCGAGGAACAACTTTGGGGATGCCTGCTCTAAAACAACTAAAGTTAAACTTAAAATGTATGAGCTAAGCTAACGTTAGCTTCCCTGTTTAAATTGAGGAAAGGCGGAGATGGCTGCTTGTCATAAGGCCAGAATTCATCTCTAGAAGAGAAAAGCGATTAGCCTTGGAATGCTCTGCTAACGTTACTAGCCATTACGAGGAAGAAGACAATAGAGGCGGGATTTCCTAGAAAGTCGCCAATAGCGCCACACATATAACGTTTAAAACCTTTTAATTAAAACTGCTCATATTAGTATTTAATATGGGTGTGTCATTTTGGCAGAATTATGACTGCATAACTTTGGTTGCCTAGCAACGGTGACAGCATGAGACATGCATCTGTGAAGCAAAAGGGGCCTGTAACTGTTTCTTTTATCCTGATATAAATATTATTGAAGGGAAACACAGATCTTAGAAACCTATGATTTCTTATTTCATTATTTTATTTACTAGCTCATCTTTACAGTAATAAAAAAGGCAACTCAACAAGCCACATGACAGAAGTTAAAGGAATAGTACACCCAAAACATGATTAGCCTTCA